GGGACATTGTCCCCCCCCCCCCCCCCCCCCCCGGTAATGTGCAGGCGGGGGGGGGATCTGGGTGGTCCCCCGCTTGGTTTTGCAGAATCTTTTGGGGTGACTGCAACACGTTGACCTTTGCTGCGGGACCGTGCGTTTGTGCAGGGTCACGGGGCTGTGTGTGCGTGGTCGGAGCGTGTCGGCACATGTTTTGGGATGGGGGGGTGGTGGTATGGGACGAGGTGGCACGTCGGCGCGCGTCGCCTGTGCCGCAGGGCTGCGGGTGTTTGTGGGGTGCCACATCTGTGTGTTACGGGAGGGCGCGTGGGTTTTTGGGTTGCTCTGACTGCTTTTTAAAGCTTTTTTTTCCGCGTTTCTCCCAATTTCTGAGTGGGGCTGGAGCCTTCTTCCCCAAGCGGTCGCTGGTCTCTGGGGGCTATATGGGGTTGCAGGACCTTGGGACACCACATTCTCCCTCCTGCAAGGAACTGTAGCCCCCTGCACCCATCCTGAGCATTGCCTGCACCCCAGCTCCAGCCTGGGTGGGGGGGTGAAAGCAACAGTCCCCCCGGTCTCACCCCAGCCCCACAGGGTGCACCAAGGGGTGGCTGGCTTTTGGGGTGGGGGTGTGGGGACAAGCTGTGGGGGTTGGCATGTGGCCCTCTCCATACCACCCTCCTGCAGGTCTTTTTTTTTTTTTTTCCCCAACCCATTTTTGAGCTTTACTCGCACCGTGACGCGCCCTTGAAGGCACCATTGGTGTCGCTGGGCTGGGAAACAGCCGAAACTCTTCCAGCCGTCCCTGCTGAGGGGTTTTACACCCCTCTTCCACCAAGCAAAAGGGTGATTTTGGGGGGATGCTCAGTCCCAAACACAACAGCACCTTGCCCAAGCACACACGGGTGCCCTGAACCTCTTAGAACCCCCGGTAAAGTCACCCACCAACCGGTGCCGTGCGCTCCGCGGCATCCCCAAGTAGCGATTAGCCGGATCGTTGCAGATAACAGGGTTTCTGCAAACAGGCAGAAAACCGCAACAGGCCGATCAATGCAGCATTGCCAAAGTACCCCTCGCTCCTTCCTCCTCAATTATTGATGCTAATACCCGGCAGGTTTGCCACCGAACCACTGCAGCCTGTTCCGCACAAGTCCCGACATCTTGGTAACATGATAACGCCAGCCCTGGGATAATAAATCATGGTTAGGAAGCAGGGTGGGTTGCTGGGCATGCACGAATTTGGGGCTATGTTCACTCAAAAAGCGTGAATTAATTAAATTCCCAGAAAAATAAATTCCCCCAACAAAACAAAAGCCCTGGCGCTGGCTCCGAGAGGCCCTGCGGGACGAAGTGTCCTCAGGGC